GGCCTAGGCCTATACCTAATTAATTAGGCTAACTGACAATGTTAAAACGGTTAGTAAACACGAAAAAAGTATGATTTTAGTAATTTACGTGGTAATAATTTAATCTTAGAAAACTTCTATACTGTTATATGTTTGAATTTAAATATCTCGATATTCTATGGCCCACATCACGTCAAACTACTATCATATGATGGGTGGGGCTGAGGTGGGTGGTTCCTCAGTCTGTGAAAGTCCCTCGCTGGTTCACCTCTATTTCGAATTCCTGGATCTGCCACTGTTGATTTATTATATAATCACTGTTGCGCTTATAATGCGTCTATTGCAATTTTCGCTTTATCCTCTCAAAACAGTCCTAAGAACGTTCAGAGTGGCGCTACTTCAAAGGGGGAATCGCCCCCGGACCCCGCCAGGGTCCTACGTAATTCGCATAACGGCTACCCCCCCCCCCCACTTTCAAAATCCTGGCTACGTCCCTAATATTTAATGATTGTAAATATATTATAAAACACAGAATGGTCTAAATATATTTTGTTCTTGGCAGGTCTAGATATTTCAAAAGACATGATTACTTTTGCAAATCAGAATAATCGACCAAAAAACGTGGAGTATATATGTTGTGACGCTCAGGATTTTGGCGGTAATGCATCGTCGTGGAGAAATAAATTCGACAAAGCCGTTTCACTGTTTGCCCTCCACTGGGTGGAAAACAGAAAGATGGCTATTAGGAACATTCACAGTTGCTTGAAAGAAGGCGGAGAGGCCTTCATTATTGTGAACGGGCCAATGCAGAAGACGCTAGGAAACAAACCGGATGAACTTCCATTCTATCTGAAAAATCATATGAAATGGAAAATGATTTTACAAGTGAGTAAAAATACTTCATCTAGCAAGTGAAATAGTGCATATGGGATGGTGTATGAATACAGGTGCTCTAATTTGAAGAGTTGATCGGACAACTATAATGATAATGTCTGTCAAAATAAAAAAAGAAAACTTAACATTCACATTAAAAACAGAAACATAAATTGAAAGAAGTTCCGAGGGGCCCTGGACCTGGTTCGATTGTACAGTCGGGGCCCTCCGCATATAAATTGGCCAACCAGGCCAAGCTGTATACAGTTTACATAGGTCTAATTATACTCTTTTACTGAAGTAATCTATAGTTTACATCCACCTGAGTGACCCATCCTGGTATTTCTTAGTCTATAGGTTTCGGGTTTGGACCCTAAAAAATAAACAAGGGAATTAGGCTTATTGTACAATGTATAACTCTAGGTTTCGGGCCTAAATATTGATTTCTAATGTATTATTATACAGATACATATAAAATATATAGACGGTATACAGTACATCAAACTTTTACTAAATTACAGACTATTTTGCTGCCACATAACACTCTTCCAGTAAAGCTTTCTGGAGCTTCAATGATTATTAATTATGGAAGTAAAAATGCCGATACCCGCGGTACATAAGACGAGATAAATGTATATTTAATAGAGCGTAATGGGAATCAACTTGGGGGCGGAGGCTCAATGTTAGAATGAAGTACGTTTCTACCGGAGTCCAGCTCTGGTCCTAAAGCAGAAACAGTTTGTTTACCTAGATGCCCAGAATAAATATGAAATAATCATGATAATGTGATGATGATGAGAGGATGACGATTACGACGATGATAATTGTGATGACGACGACAATGATGACGGATGATGGTAATGACAAGGCAGTGGCATGGTTAGTGATGGACACACTAATGAAATGAGTTCAAGTTGGAAAGGGCACCTGTGATGGTGCAAGACAAAAACCAGGGGAAAGCCAGCGGTTTTGATTAGATACAGACTAATTTGAGTGTTTTTTGTATTTAGTATTAAATAATAGTAATACTTCCAGAGTGCGAAGCGATCAATGCAATCTTTAGGAACGCAGGAACCCGGTGGTTCTGATGTTGGGGAAGACCGATTTGAACGTGTGTTTTTTTTTTATCATTTTATCCCAGGCAGAACAAGTAATTACAAGTTTTATACCGGTATGCATTGATTTATTATATTTTTTTTTATAAGGGTGCAGTGCCCCAAAAATTGGGGGTTCTGGTTCAGTGAACCGCCTAAACCGGTGCGGTAATTACGCAAAACTAATTAGATACAAAGTAAGCAATTTAGTTGAAAGAAGCAGTTTAGTTTAATGGTAATGGTAGGATATATGTTTGCAGAGCGCCTTCCACAATACAATTGTCCCAATATGAGCTGACAGTATTCAGAACATAAATCTGTTTCCGCTGGACCTGAGCTGGACCCCGATAAAAACGTACCTCATTCTAACATTGAGCTTCAACCCCCAAGTCTATTTCCCTTATTGCTCCAGTAAGTATACCTTGATCACCTGGTAGACTGTCCATGGAGGAATAACTACATGGTCTGTCTGCCATTAATAGACCAGAAATTAACTTAATAATGAAAAATACCATACCAGCAATCTGTTATCCGAAAATCTAACGTATTCACTTGTAGGCCTAATTCCAAAGTTTAAAACAATGCCTTTGAATTTGGAAGCCTGTTTATCCCATGTAAGTTCACCCTTAGCTAAAAGAATTAAGTTTATGAAATCATTGACAATTTATTTTTGTTTTGGCTTTTTCTTTGACACCCAGAATTATGAGCATGGAATGCACAATGATCTCGATCTGTCGCAGTGGACAAGGCTACTAGAAGAGGAAGGGTTCGAAATGCTACGAGGAGAGATGAAGGAACCATTTGAAGAACGTACGCTTCCTGACGACAACGAGCTTAAAGGCATGTTTATTTGTAATAGAGGTTTATTTTCAGTATGCGTTCACTGTGGCCGAAACTTCTGGGACTTGATGAAGGGTGGGGGGGGGGAGGTGAAGTGGAAGCTGGATGTTTAAGTGATGAGGCGCTAGCTCGCAAAATAAGGTGGTTTTTAACTACTTGAGAGCGATTTTTCTTTTGCTTCAAACATTTTCAATGGGAAGGGATCGACTGGGGACGTTACCTCCCCTAGATCCTGCATCCTCAGCTACGCCACTGATTTCTGCTGAAGTACCGTCATATAAGTGACTATAAATACATAATCTTTTGGAACCAATTAAACAATAGGTAACGCATACCATCCAGGCAGAATCTAACCCATCCTACTGAGCACGTATCAACATTTACAAAATACTGTGCGTGTTTATCCCTCACATTATCACGTCATTTCCAAGAGGTGCTCGATTCCTCTGTTGGACGCTTGTAAAACTTGTGTTTTCTTGAACACTGTAAATACGCACGTTTCGTGGGGCACTGACTTTATGCGCACCCATGAAGTCCGATTGACTCACTGATCATAGAAGTAAACGAGACTCTTTATCAATGGATATTCCTCTACAAAATTGACTGATAATCGATAGACATGTAAAACTTTTGGAGGAATTCCACTGAATGGTACTTCCAATTCTTTTGAAATGGATGCATTTATACTTTTACACATGCAACCTATTTTCTGATTATTTGTTTTTATCTGTATTTCACACAGGCTACTTGAAAACTCTGATGGGACAATTTAGCTATGTACCAGAGCAGTTTCATGCAGAGTTGCTTACAGATGCATTTGAGTGGTGTAAAAAGGAGCTACCCTTCAACAAACAAGGAATACAGTACTTCGCTGCAAATGTAATTTTCATTCACGCGAAGAAAAAACCTGCACACAGGGACTAGTTGAATTTTGCGAGGTTTGTACCACACGCTTTTTCAGTACGTGTGCGTGCTTCATTGTTAGGGGTTAGTCAAGACATTCTCAATACTAACTTGTTTCTAAGCGCATGCCTATCGAATTTTATATGAATTTAGTGAAAAATATCTCAATGAAGGCAGAGGCCTACACAGCAATAGTAAAATAGTTAAGTCGACTTAGATTAACTGTTACTATTTGGGACGAAATGGCTCCAAACATTCTGAACAAAAACTGTAAATCCAATTCCTGGTTTGTTGTTTATTAAAACATTTGTGGAGAATAATTCAGTATAGGCCTACTCATCTTTGCATGAATATTTTTGCATGAAAACAAGCCATATATGAATAAACAATCATCGATATATGAATAAATCAATTAAATAAAATAATCATTTATGTATGAATAATGTCTGTGCCCCTGGTTCTTAATAGGCAGACCACTGGTACTATTCTTTTCCCCATACAATTAAGGCAGATATTATAGAGGGCACTATTTAAGGTCATTTATGTGAACTGATACATGAATATGCATAAATGGCCGCCAAAATTAAAATTATTAGATATACAGTATATCATTCGGCTCTGTCAACATTTTTAGTGGATTTGTCATCTCAGACCTAAAACATAGTAATATAACATATAATCATATATATTTAGTGGAAAAATTTAGTGGAAAATATCACAAGCAAAGGCATATATGCAACTTAGATTAATGTATATTACTGTTATTATTTGGGACGAAATGGCTCTGGACTTTCTGAACTAAAACTGTAAATCAAATCCTGTTTTGTTGTGTATTAAAAAAAATGTTAAAATTTAATATACTCATCTTTTCATGACAAGCCATATATGAACAATGATCCATAAACGAATAAATCACTTAAACAAAATCATATATTTATGAATCTACATATGAATAAAATAACATATGATGGAATTCTATGTGGGATCCCATATATACTGATATACAGATTCCTCCATATATGAATAAATCACTTGAATAAGATAATCATACTATTTAATATATCAGATGAAAACAAAAATGTGAGCTCATTGTTAGTAGAAAAAGGTGCTACTTTACATTTATTCTTTGTTTTCATGAAAATATAATTATGAACAAGTCCATATATGAATAAAATAAGTCAAATATATGACAGAAATCTATGTTGGATGACATATACAGTACAGTCAAGAGACTGAGACAATTTAATGAAATGTGGAAGAGGTAAATTTTATTGATATTATAAAACAACTTCGGCCAAATGATGCTTTTAATTTTTAACTTCATTTAATGAAATAATAATCTCCCTCCTCTTAATGTTTTAATATTTTAACTACATTTTAACATTTTATCAATGGTTGTAATCAGTGCAGTGTATCACTGTATCTTGATGTTTGTTATTTTAGTATTATAGATTTTAGACAAGTTAATGTAATGTTATGCATGTATTGGCAACCAAAGTTTTGAACCATGTTTAATGTATATTATTACTTGCCAGACCAATAAATCTTGAATTTTGAAGTCAAGGTCTCATATATGAAAAGAAACCGTCACAAAAGTGAACTTATTGTTAGTCAAAAAAGGGTCCACATATTCATGAAATAACCCACATATATGATAGAAATCTGCCTCCTCTTAATGTTTTAATATTTTAACATGCTTTTAAATTTTTTCCCTAACACTTTATCAATGGTTGTAATCAGTGTAGTTTAATCAGTGTATGTTGATGTTTATTATTTTAGTATTACACATTTTAGACAATGTAATATTATAAATGTTGTGTAATCAACCAACATTTCGAATCATGTTTATATTGTTTTTGACCAATAAATCTTAAAACTTGAAGTCCGCCACAAATGTGAACTCATTGTTAGTCGAAAAAAGGGTCCACATATGAACGAAATACCCAACATATATGATAGAAATCTATGTTGGATCATATATACAGTACGGTCAAGGTCTCATACAGTATATGAATAGAAACTGTCACATGAATTCCAATGAACTGTAAAAATATTATGGTTAACAGACATATTCAACTTCAACACAGACAGGATCTCGAGTAGAGCAAATCTTCTATATTTGAATGAAATCCTCCATATATGAACACAACCTTTCATATATAAAAACAAAATGCTATGGACAAGAAAGATTAACCATGCAAGTTTAAAATCATCTATACACGGAAAAGATGAGTATCTTTACATTAACTTCAATAAAACAGAATTAGTTCTGTTTCAATCTTTATTAATTTTAAACATACTATTTTTCACATGAACAAAATTCTTTTGAATTTGAATAAAATAACCGGCTCCCAGAGTGAGCATGTCTACTGCATGTTTTAAGTTTTTTTGGCTACTGTTAACTCATAACCCATCCATGCTCTCTGTGTTGGAAATTTACATGAATAAACCTGTACAAGTACCATACTGAGTGTAACAGACTGACTTTTCAGTTCCTTCTAGGTCAGGGCATGGCATTATATTTTGGATCATCTCATCATTCCTCCAATCAGATTTACTCTCACAACTTACAAGTGAGATGATCACTAAGACTTCCTGCCGATTGGTGGAAAACCAATAGACACAAAAACATCATAATGAATATAATCATTAATTTTATAAATAAATCATTCAAATGAAATTATCATCCATGTATGCATAACATATATGAAAATACATATATGAACCAATTCATTTATGAATAAAATAACCATATATGGTTACCATCTATGTGGGTTCTCATAGACACATAGAATCCAGTGAAGAAAATCAATCGCATGCAATCCAACATCCCCTACAAATATGATTTGCAAAGACAATGTCAACCTTAAGGAATACACCATACGCTGTCACCTGCATCACTCCATATCTTCAACATACGTGCAACTCACTACAGTTTCAGGAGTGACCTTGACATTAGCACTGCCCTCAATGTCATACGTCCATTTGGGGTATATGCGTTTGTAAAGTGTCATTAGGACTGTATCCTGTGACTTCAACTGACCGTCAAAAATGCATTTCATATGGCCATGTGTTCCTGCAAGAATCATCCAGAATATGATTATTTCTAGTAGGCTAGGTAATGCAAGAAAATATACAATTAATAATAATTAATGATAATATATCACATGTTAGTAATTCTGGTATAGAGAAACACCTCCACTGGTAATAATTATAAACAATAATAAATTTTTAATGACAGCGTATTGTTCTGATCAGAATTAGAAGCATGATAAACCCCAATATAAGGCTTGCCATCCTAAAAACAGCATCAGTGACTGCAAGATGAAAATTGACTTTAAAATATTCTTATTCTCCACATTGTAAGCTTTAAAATTATGTGTCATTTACTGGAACAAACTATTGCCAAATAATTGAGTAAAAGTATATTATAGCTAAAGTATACAATATTGCCACATTCTTATGCCAATTACTCAGTTTAATATATAGCGAAGGTACGCTAGTTTTGGTATAGCTTAACTCGTATTATAATAATACAGTACCTCATTTCCTTAATCATTAGTGGTTAATGAAAGCACGCTCCATAAAGGTAACAAGATAACACAATTTATATAAATTATCAATACACTTTATTGTCACTTACTTAACATGGTATAAATCATCATTCTATATATATAGCTACTCACCTAAAGGTTCCTTAATATGACCTCGTCGACCCCACTTTGTCTTAAGTTCAATCGGCTTAAACCACATAATATCCTCTGAGAGAAGTAAACGAAAGTTTATTAAAATCATGTTACCCAAATTATTACTGTATAACAACAATGCTAGCTCTTCAAGCTGTACATATAATATTTTCATTCAAAATCACTCACATCTAACCAGGTACCTATTTATTTAATCCTGTGTAGAGAGAGACAAACGTAAATGAAGAACACAAAAATTATGACCAACATTGGATTCGAACCAGAACTACTCGGTTGAAAGCCCAAAAGCCTCAACCCCTGTGCCACATGCTTCCATAATAGTATTCATTGCTTCACTCCAACTCACCTCTATTAAAGAACATGTAGCGGACCACTGCTTGTCTTTTCATGATCTTGAACGGATGGCCGCTGAGGACAACTTTCTTCACAACAACCCTGTTAGGATTGGCTCCTAATAATGTTCCTGTAGCAACCAGGGTATGTGATCCTGTAAAACAAACCATATGAATTAGCATAGAGCAGAGGATGATACAACATCTATGAAACATGCATTATTACATGCAATGAAAGTTGAATAGCTGATACATATATATGGCACATATATGAATCATATGATTCATATATGGTTACCACACCGAGACACAGGTAGTGTATATGAGAGGCTTGCCATCCAAAAACCAGCGTACAGTCACTATATGTTGAAATGAGTAAGTAGCATAAGAATGTGGCACTATTGTATACTTTAGTATAGAGAAGCCATAATACATTTTACTCATAACTTTGGCAATAGTTTCAGTAAATGACCTATCATTTTAAAGCTTATACTGTGGAGAATAAGAATATTAAAGTCAAGTTTCATGTTTTGGTCACTGATGTTGGTTTCTGGGTGAAAGCCTCATATTGTTATACATTCTGCTGTTTGCAACCTTTCACTCAAGTGGTATAGAACCATCTATACATTATCTCAAATACTGTAGTATAAATTATTTTCTCCATGTGATATACCTATTTTTATTATTACTTATTTTATATTAGAACATCTGTTAAACAAGCACATCGTTAATATAGCTAATATGCACTTCAAAAATAAATTAAAATATCTTTTAATTACTCTGTTGACTCACCTCCTGGTAGTTCCTTGAAGACAAGAATGTTGGCTGGTGGGAAAATAATTGGTGCATATACGCTAGCAACAGAAACGCCATCAATCGGGAAGAAGCGTTCATACTAAACGAAACAAACAAAATAACCTTTCGTCATATAAAAAGACTACAAACTTTCATAGGCTATACACAATTATTTTATTACTATTATCGAAAGAATATATAGCAATTGTAACAATTTGTAATACAGTAAAACGTCCATTTTACGTATACCCCTTGCTACCAAGGGGTTTTCGTAAACTGAAAAATTTGTAAACCAGATCGGGAGTCAGTTTCCAATACCTGGGCCTAGCTATCCACTGCTATTGAGCGCCAATAGGCTGACGGCGATGGCCAGGCCTAGCACAAACGACAGTGCAGCAGCGTGGTCTACCGCATTAGAGCAAAGCGGAATTTACCTTCGATAAAAACAAACAATTATTTTAATTTCTGGCATTTTTCCACTTAACAAAATATTATTTTAACTCATATTCAAACATCTTTATGTTTTATGGACCTTTCTCTCGTGTTCTTTCTAGTTGTTAGATCGCCGAATAGTGTTGTTTACATGCATTTCACAATCATATCTAGCATTCACGATGTTAATAATTTGCTGACCCCAACGCTCTCGTTCGTCATCATAAACACATGTGCGCTCGATCCGACGACACTTGCATTTGTAATTGTTCTGGTTAGGTTTATTGCATTAACATAGTGATTATTATACCAGAAATGGAAGAAAAGATCGAACTATTAATAAATAAATACAACTAACTTGATTTTATTAAGAAAAATATACATTATCACTTTGTAAAACGTGCAATAATTGGTCGATAATGATGTCATCAGGGGCACAGACCATTCGTAAAATCGACTATTCGTAAAATTTACGTTAGTAAAATGGACGTTTCATTGTATTTCGTTTTAGTAACACAAATGTTATTTAGGCTTACCTTCTGTTTGTCACCGACAGTGTGCTGCGAGAAAATCGGACATGCTGTGAAGCGTCTGTAGCCTGTCTGAAATATCAGACGGTCTTTGGACTTGATAGGTTCTACGTAGCCTTGGTGCCTCTTGAGGGCAAAATGCAAAACAGACATCTGGGGAATATAATCAAAGCTAAAAGTAACCCACAGCTAAGAATCTTTGAGGTACAACCAGCCCTTTGACAGGGCTGGAAAAAGTGCACGACCGTGTGACCGGCGGTCAGAGGCAACATGAATGTCTTGGAGGCATTTTGGGGGAAAACAACTTTAAAAAATAAACTGTTGGGCTACATAGTGTAAAGATAACATTTGGTGCTGGAGCCATATTATCAAGACAAATTTCATAGTCGGGGGCACAAACATTTTTTGTCCAGGCCTGGCCTTCGGTATGTATGCTAACTTAGCACCAGGCAGAGGTGGACAGGGCCACCCAGCCTTTAAGTTTTCCACTCAGTCTAAAGCTAATTTCATGGCCCTCCAACCACCTTAATTAACCCCTTGCCCATCCTTAAAAATCCACTCTTATTATTTAGAGTTTACAAATGTTATCACCCACCTACCCTTAAATGTCTACCACCCACCATTAGTTTTCAGAAGCTACAACTTTTGTAGAATTTTCTCAGCCTGTTATCAGTCTTGGGTGATTGCAAAAAAGGTTGGGAAATTAAAATTGGTGATTTTTTCATCATAAGCACACTTTTAAAATGTGAAATCGATTAAAGCAATTGATATGAATTTCTAATTATTTCTTAAGAAAAAATATGCAAATCTATTTCTGTTTTAGATTTAACATACCCTTGCTTTATCATGTGTGTTTATTATTTCTGGTGTTATTATAGTTTAATTTGACTATATTCCATTGTTTTGCTTGAGGGTTTCTCAGTGCAGCCAGGATTCATCCACCATAAGGTTCCAAAATTGGGGAGACTTGCATTTCACAGCTTCCCTAGCACCTCACTGGCACAAAACTAGTATTGTACCAGTTAAGAATATTTAAAATGCCACCAACTTTCTTTGGATTCTGAAATGCATCTTAGAGAACACAAGAGCCAATATTTTGTTTATATTACTTACCTTTTGTTCATGTTGCAGAAGGCCAAATAATACAAGTGGCTTCTTTTCATCATGGTTATCTAAAAATACAAATAATATTAGGCACATTATGATACCTGAAATTTAAATATTATTTGAACATAATGTCAACACCTTGATCATTGGAACTCATTTTTAAATAAATTTTTAAATTATTTTAAAAAATAAGTAACATTTAACATTAACCCCGATATTCTTAAAAGATCCTTAGTTGTAGTTCGAGATAAAACTTCAAAATTACATCATTTCGTATTCTAAAAACCAACTCCAACTAGCACCTCAACTAAATCACGCGAACCTCGACTAAATTTATACCTCCACAGGCCGATTTTTTAGTCAGCCTAGGGTCAGGCTAAATCACCAACTTGAAATATTTACCCCACTAAAAATATGCTTTTTGTAACTCACGATAAAGTGAAAAGAATAAAAACAGTTGCATAAGTAGGTCTGATGTAATATACCCTTTTGAAAATCTTACCTATAAATGATTTTGGTACATTTGCTATGTGTACAGTTACATACATTCCAGGCTGAAGGAAAAAGATAATCTAATATATAACACTGTTAAAATGCATTCTGAAAACATATTCAGTTAAACTTGCCTATGTCGACTTTGTCCAACTTAAATAATTTGTCAAATTTATATTACATGCCAAATTGTTGTGTTTTCCATTAAATAACAATCTCTAAGTCGAATTTTATTTAAGTCGAACAATTTTTCAATAACATTTTGAATTCGACTTAGGTAAGTTCAACTGTATTGTATTTTTAAAAGCATATCATGTAAGAAAGATGTACTGTAAAGAACATACTGTTAAAACATGTATTGTAAGGCATAAACAGTATTTTACAACATGTACTGTAAACATGTGAACATCAAAACAACTGTAAAGCATATACTGTAAAAAAAATCATTTACTGTAAAGAACACGCTGTTAAAACATGTATTGTAAGGCATAAACAGTATTTTAAAACATGTACTGTAAACATGTGAACATTAAAACAACTGTAAAGCATATACTGTAGAAAAATCATTTACTGCAAAGAACATGCTGTTAAAACATGTATTGTAAGGAATAAACAGTATTTTAAAACATGTACTGTAAACATGTGAACATTAAAACAACTGTAAAGCATATACTGTAGAAAAAACATTTACTGTAAAGAACACGCTGTTAAAACATGTATTGTAAGGAATAAACAGTATTTTAAAACATGTACTGTAAACATGTGAACATTAAAACAACTGTAAAGCATATACTGTAGAAAAATCATTTACTGTAAAGAACACGCTGTTAAAACATGTATTGTAAGGAATAAACAGTATTTTAAAACATGTACTGTAAACATGTGAACATTAAAACAACTGTAAAGCATATACTGTAAAAAAATCATTTACTGCAAAGAACACGCTGTTAAAACATGTATTGTAAGGAATAAACAGTATTTTAAAACATGTACTGTAAACATGTGAACATTAAAACAACTATAAAGCATATACTGTAAAAAAATCATTTACTGTAAAGAACATGCTGTTAAAACATGTATTGTAAGGCATAAATAGTATTTTAAAACATGTACTGTAAACATGTGAACATTAAGACAATTGTAAAGCATATACTGTAAAAAAAACATGTACTGTAAAGGACACACCGTTAAAACATGTATTTTAAGGCGAGACTATTTTTTATTCCTTGTTTCGTGTACTTATTTTTTTTTAAAGATTATTGGAGGAGGGCGTAATAAAATTAAAAATAAAATTTTAGTTTCTTAATTAGCAAATACTTTTGCCAAAATCATCCAGACGGAGGAGAAAATAAAAATAACATTTTATTGGTGAATGTAAAATGGGATGGTTAAATGCTTCAAATTTATATAATTGGGAAGAAATATACATAAAGCATATACTGTAAAAAACATATGTATTGTAAAGAACATACTGTTAAAACAGTTGTAAAACAATTGTAAAGCATATACTGTAAAATCATGAATGGTAAGCTAAATACTATAAAACATATACTGGAAAGCAAGGATGAAGAGTATTAAAGACTAAAACACTTTCTTTATCAAAGAACTTACTTGGACTTCAGAGTCTATTTCTTCCTGCTGAACTTTTTTCTTTGTACGATTAAAATTTTGAAATTGAAAAATTCTTGCATAGTCTAGAGGCAGGTTCTCTTTAGGATCCCAAGGTGACGAACGAAAACTTTTCAAACCTCTGTACCTAAAGTGTATGACAAAAACATAAAAATAAGTACCATGATATTAAAATTGTCTTACAAGTTGATAATGATGGGTTAATCTCGATGTTATTAATACATTTATTACAATTTGAACCACATGTATAGTGTGATGCTTCCAGTTAATTCCGAAAGTTGAATTAATATTTAGGTGTCCCTTAAATTCAATTAATTATTACGATACTTTATATGCTATAGAATACGTGATTCACACAATAATGTTACACACGTCACAGGCTATGAACATTTTAGGATGCGTCCCGTGCTAAATTGCATCTGTGTATGCCTATCAGTGTATGAATAGCATGCGTTTTGTGTAATATCTATGTAAGAAACAGATATTCATATTGCATAGGCCTTTAACACTTATGAGATACTTAACAAGCATATGTGCCCATGCTCAGAGGCCTCAGCGTACAATCAATATTTGAACTTATGCTTAACTTTAGTGTCCATGTTTGAATTTTACTTACCGTGCAAATCGATTTCTCGCTGTAATATCTCTCGGAGTGTCAACTTCATCGGGAAACATGGCATTCATGCGTTCTTCACGATACTTTTGTAGCCTATCCGAGCAATGAGAAGAAAATATTGCAAACATTGTATTCTTTATTCCAACAAAACTCAAACCTAGCTAAGGCCAAGTATTTTAAATAGGAGTTAGATTATGTATTAAACAATTACACAATTACAAACTGTTAATTCTTTGCTCTGACTAACACATATTTTTACAATAAGCAAAAGGCAAAAATATGCTTACATTTCCAGATCTTCTTCTTCATCAAAATGCACTCGGTCATAATTATCTTTATGCCCTCCTGTTATACTAATCTAAAAAGAGAGGGGAAAAAAACCTAATTTTACCATTTTTCCAGTAAGTGATAATATCGTATCCCATCCGTATATGGGCAAATCAAAGGTATTTCGATCAGAGCATGATTGATCAATGCAAACATTTTACACAGTATGGTTTTCAAAAATTCTTATTACTGTTTCAAAATCATTTGTATCAGCAACACTGGCCATTCCATCAGCATCCTCTTCATCGCTGACTTCTCTTGCTTGGAGTTCATCGTCGTCATCTTCCATTGTAGCATCATCCTCATCGCTGCCTTCATCTCCCTGAAAGAAACCAAAATCAAAAAGTAATATCTATTATTAAAATTATAATTTATTAAAATATATATAATTAACTTCATCATTATTAAACTGATAATTTGTCAATAACTCCCAATGAGAGACAGCTTGAACAAATTTTTAATTTTATTGCCAAAATATGAATGTAAAGAATTAAGGAACAGTATTCTCTTTACATCAGAAAACATTGTCTTATTTTAATTTTATTTAATTTTAAAAGCCAATAACTTTTTACTTCTTAAAACAGGCCTAAGCAATTCAAATAGCAATTTCAAATATTCACATTTATTACCCAATCAAATACTGTATATCTTTATATCTGAAATACTATACACTAACCGATTCTTCTTCTTCCTCCTCTTCATTGTCCAGAATCCACGCAGCCTGATATTCTGACGTTCCCTTTGGTACTTTCCTCAGAATTTTCTTTGTCTTCTCTCGAAGGGCAGCTAATGAAAAGCACATTAACAGAGGTTACATAATGTTTGGATCAGGACAATTTGTCACATACTAGAATTACCATATACACTTAAATAGATCCAATCACTATTCTGAGCACACCTTCTGCATCTGCCATCTCCTCCTCTGTCGGCCATGTTTGCTCTCCTTCCATTGGGTCCATCTCTGCCTCAGCCTGCAAGGATTCTTGTTTGGCTGTGTCAACAACTTCTAACACTTTGATGTCCTCTTCCATGGCCATTTCATTGTCATCATCCTAAAGTAAGGAGAAACATTTTATTCTATTTTTAGGCTCAGGGTCAAGGATATGCCAATAGGGAAATTAATCACTTTACTAAGTGGCAATCCTTTCACAAGACAAACATATAAACAATCTACATAACCTAAGTCTCATTATGAGGCTTAGGGAGTGGAGTTTACTGTAAGTCGAGAGAAAATAAATCCTGTTACCATGACGGGAATTGAACCCAAGACCCTGGGATTGGAAGTCAAGTATCTTAACCACCAGGCTATTCAACTCCATTCCAAGCGGTTTATTGTTTTTTATTTATTTATCAATCTGGTATCAAAAGACACAGAATTATTCAATATAAGAATATTATTATTATTGAATGATAATTTTTGGTTATTATTATAAATAATAACAATTTTAATGCAGTAAAAATATATAAATTAATAATTTACTTATTTTAGTTTAAATGTTTGCTGATATTGATATTTAAACATTCAACAGAATTTTCTATATTTCTGTTGCCTATTTGGAATAAAGTATAGGTATAAATTTAACAAAAAATAGCATATGTCTCCTTTTACTTACTGTATTCATATTATTTTCTCCACTTGTCTTCTTCTTTAGAGGGTGGTTCAAAGGGCAGGGGTCAGGAGGAGAATCGATCTGCTTCATTTGGAATTCTCCGTACCCTAATATATGAATCAAACCGTTTACAGATAACAGACGCCCTCTCAAGAAGCCAGACACTTTCAATGTACCAAGAAGTCCCTTAAAAAAATTTCCATATTTTTTTTATTAACTTACCAATCAAATAACTTATAATTGTATCTGGCATGTATGTAGCAATACATAACACTTTGAGACAAATACATGTGACACAGTATTAGCATCACTTCCTTTCTACACAAATGCCTGGAAGGGCTATACCATGTAGTGTGCGGGAACGGGTTCGTTGGCAATAGATATATTGATTTATTATTAATTTATTTATACAGGCACACAACACACGCAACAAAGATTGTCAATAGCAAATCTATCACTGTCCTTCTTGCAGGTGACAATTCCATACACAAGACAAACATACACACACGATACTTCACACAAACTAAATCTCAATATGAGGTTTAGGGATTGGAGTTGTTTTGGTTTTGAACATTATTCACATTTGTATCTTTGTGAGTACAGACGATTGTCTTAAATTTTTAAAAAGGCATTTATATTTTAAACAATATTTATTAGAGTTTAGGAAGCATACAACATAGTAGCACAAGTCTAAAAATGCATCCTCAGTGGCAGCTCCAATGGGAATAAGAGGTCAACATCTCACCCCCACCCCACCAAACAAGAATTGACTCCATTCATCTTACGCCACAATGAGGTCATTGGACTATATCAATTTGCTTACCCAAAGCTTTTGCGATTGCCAATCCCTAATATTGTGTAATATTACGTACATGTAGTCCGCCATGTAATATTATGTATGGCAGTCCGCCATGTAATGCTCAAGTTGGTATGTCCGATTCCAATGTTATGTTCCGGATGCAAAGACTGTATCTTCACTATGTAGTATTGTTGTGATATGACAAGCGAGATGGTTTACTTTTAATAACTGAACTGACTACATCTCTTCTGGTTATAATGCAAAGCGTTTATTTACTATTCTACTGCATGATATATACAATATACACAAGTAAGGTTGTGAGACGTAGTGTTTCCTTCAAGGTATCAGAAGGAAGTCCTCTCTGGATAACTAATACTTTACTTTTCATACAAGCTTGGGGTGTGGTGGACTTTCTCTGATTGGTTGAAAGATATCCCCTTATCCTAATCATTTGACTATTACATCATTTTGGGGAGTTTCTATTGGTCTGATAATATAACAACTTTGGGGGTAGAACTTAACTTATATTTAGTAACAAACAGTCTCTCAATTGAGCTTATTTTATAAATCAAATGTAAGGAGTTGACCACTTGGGCTTTTTGTCATGAATTGGCTATTGTCCTGTCAAAGACATCATATATAATAATTAAGGAGACGTTTAACAGATGCCCACTGAATTAGTGAGGTAATGGGGTAGTGAGGTAAAAGTTCAGTCCAATGGTTTTATTGATTTGGCCTATATTCGTAAGTTATCTTAATACTACAGTATATAACAATTGATCCCTATCGCTAAAGAAGATAGGCAATCTTGAATGGTGGATTCTGATTGGTCAAATAGTTTGGTTTGAATAACACTTTCATTATGATTTTATGAGCATCATGAAAATTATGGCCACATATAAATTTATTGTTTTATATAATAAAAATCTACTTAAATATAAAATGTCCATTACCACAAGATGCGGGGCACCATCCTTTCCTCCAATCTTCCTCTTCTTATTAAGCAAATCATTTTCTTCTTTTGTCTAATTTGATTTGCCTAAATAGAAGTAGTCAAAATTGCTCAGTAAACCTGTAATTTGATTGATTTGGTTGTAAAATGTTCAAATAAACATTTTCTCCAAATAATTCATCATATCACTAAATTTCAATTATGCCATGGCATTACTGTACTACTTACAGCAGAAGCAACCTAGCTCTCTCTAGTCTAGTAGGCATAAGGCATAATTAATATTTTTCTGTAACCTTTTTTCAGGCGTTCAATACTAAAAAAGTAGCATTTTAGATCATTAATGTTTATACAGTACAAACATGAATTTTGTAGAAAAATTAAAGAAATTACTATTTAAAAAAAAAAAAAGATCACTTCCTCGTAAGTCGTGTCAAACTCCACTGGAAGGGAGTAAGCCTAGCCAGTGTATAAGCTGTTTTGTATTTTGCTGCGTCTCTCATCATGTTTCATGTTTTGGTGGTGGTAGGCCTAGCCTTCGGCTGACGAAATGTACAATATATATTAATATATAAATATTGATGCGAGCAGATACCTTTGGACGATGTCGCCCTGTTTTGTGCGTCTTATTCTTTGTTTCAAGGCGCTTGGACGATGAGTTTGTTGACTGTCAATAGCCATCTTGAACGCACATGTGTTCTTCGTTGTGATGTTTATTTTTAAATGCATAGCGCCCTCAATAGTTTCTTCGATTCGTGCCTCTCCAAAAAAAGAGGTGTGGTTGTTACTGTTAGTTGTTACGACATTACCTCCTGTGGTGATACCAATGCAGAAGGAACATTTATATTCCTTCATTTAAAATTAATACCTGCAACAGCTTTACAATATTGCTTATCACTTGTTTTAATGTATTTCATTAAAAAGACGAGTTATTTTTTGTCTATACTGTACTAAAAATTATACATCATAACAGGCCATCAACACTATTATTATATTTACACAGCATATGCAACGCTATATTTTTGCAGTGCTATTGAAATTATATTAGCCTTTCAAAAATGCTATGAATCCATCCTAGTTGTAATTTAAACTTAAACAGGCCTACTTATGTTTCAAAGATCATCACTGTCACTGTGTCTGTGCATGGTCTGTGGTATAAATAATTTTCAGGTAAGGTGTCCCATTCTTAACTCAGCATCCTCATCATCAGAATATCATGACATTCGAAATGTCACCTTCAGTAAACGGTTGCATTCCATTCTGACAACAATATCTGAATATATTAATAAGGAGTGAAAATGTGGTATAAGGAAGATTAGTAACTTAATGGAAATAATAATAATAGTAATAATAATGAAGATGATCAGGATGATAATATGGAAGTTATAAACTATCTTCCTAATTGTTTGCGAAATTTTAAAATACAAGGCACACATCGATAGTGGAATTAAACGAGAATCAAATATTCTGATACTGTTTGAGTTGAGTTTTGAAAAAAAGTAACATTAAAATTAAGCATAAAGCAATATAAAAGCAATGAAGTTTTTTTTTTTAAAGTAGTCTAGAACTAAAATCACCAACTTCCACCGTAACATGTCTGTCTTTTTGTAAGTTTGTATGCGCTGTCTCTTATACACATCTAGATGTGTATAAGAGACAGACAGAATCGTGGACGTTTTGTGCTTCACGACGTTCGCTCTGACGTTGAAATTCCCCGATCTGTACGGCGTTGGGGTTTTGGTCGCGGTTATGCGAATTGTTAGAACGAAGCCTTTTGGTATTGTTCTTGCATAATCGGTGAGCAGATTTTACGCGACGGTACATGAAACACTATGACAAAATATTACATATTAGCCCTTAAAGTTATTATGTTAAGGAAATTCTAAAACACAATAATATTTCGTTAAAATATAATTCTAAATAATGAAAAAGTACGCCACACACTTGTGTTTTTAAACAGTTAGAGGTTAGAAAGATTCCAATATTCAGAGCCTATAATGGCTTCTTATACGTCGCCCACCGAGAAATAAAATGTCGTTTTTAGTTTTATTTACGTAATTAGTAATTTTCTAAGCCGCACGAATACAGCGGTTTTGTCAATAGCAACCATGGAAACTGCGTCTAAGGTCAATTGACAATATTTGCGCGTCCACACATCGACATCTCTATAGCTAGCTAGGCCTAGACCTATTTAATTAGTGTAGTACGACGTTCCGCAAACTATGGCCCGCGGCCCAAATTTGGGCCTCGAAACATTTTTGGAGGGCCGTGAAGACTTCTGGAAATTGAAAAAACAAAGTGACTTCCCATCATGGAGAAAATAGTTTTTAATAAAGCCGCTTCATTGTTACAGCGGATGCGTCGCTTGCACGTGCTACTAAAGCGCCAGATGATGCGTGCTATTTGAGTTTTAAGCAGTTTTTGTGTCTATGCCCCCTCGGAGCTAGACACTATGTTATCGTCTAGTATTAACCCTGTAAGATCGAGTAAATCCAGTATGGAGGAATGATGGGATGAGACATGAGCTAAAGATAAAAATAAATATAAGACCAGTCCTATAAAGATCACTACAGTAAACAATACCACACAGTTCTTGATAACCGAATGCCTATGTGGATACTTTATTACTAAAACATAATACCTGTATAGTAAAGGTAGTCTTTCAAAGTTGCGGAGTAACAGAGTTTTTGGAAGAAGGAGAAAGCTATGACGTGTGTGGTTGAACCGTGTTTGGTTGAATCATGGTAGAAAGAAGAAACAATCAACAATTGTCGGAGGGGGGTAGGGGTGGGGGTGGGGAAACAAAATGTACGGTAATAAAATAATATTTAATTTGTATACAATAAAATTTTATCACTGAGAGAACAGATAATGATGTCAAAATATTATAGGCCTACATGGAGGCTTCATGATCAAAAGTTCTTGCCAGGATTTTAGTATTTTGGTCCCTGGCGCGGCTGGGCTGCTGGGCCGCGGTTTGGTGTCTGGAATCGTAAATAGGCCGTGAAGTAAAAAGTTTGCGGAACGCTGCCTTAGACTATGACATCGTTCCGCAACCTGGGTCGCGACCTAATGTTTGGGTCGCGGAAAAATGTTGATGGGTCGCATAACCTCTTCATATCGTGAAAACTTTACTTATTACGAACGAGGACAAAGAAAATCAAATTACAGTAAACGAAAGTGCACTTAAAGTGTGGCATGTGCGTCAGTTTACTTTTGTAGCGTTATCAAAGTTTTGATGTTAAAAAATGCACTATCAAAACATTTGTACTTCAGGTATGACAACCTGAAAGTGTTAGTTTTGTTCATTTCAACTTTGTTTCGCTTTGAAAATGTTTCAAAATGTGTCTATGTCTTCGCATAACCCATAGACTTATGGCAGCATATCTAGGATTTTATGTATAGTAAAATGTCTGTAAATCATTAATTTTTACAAACCTTTAACGTATTTGAAGATTTGATAACTTAGGTGGTTTTGCTAAATTAGTAATTCAAAGTTATATTTTTAATTTTTATGGGTATTAAATTGATTTGTGGGTGATAGTATCTTTTGCCAATAGAAGCAAGTGGGTAGTATATTCTATAAGACAGTATAATACATACTGCAAGTATCGAAATGCACGCCATCGTGTCGGGATTCAATATTTCGACATTTAATTATGTCATCATCAAAAACTTCATGGCGCCGAGAGGCCGGCGGGGCCCAGGTCAAGCAGGGGGCCCAGGATAACTAAGTGAAAAATAATAAAATCAAACAAACAAATAAAAATTATCAAACGTACATTCATCCAGTATCATCATGTGTTTTTCCCACGAATTGTAAATAAAGCTGACCGTTTATCGATGAAAGCTCGTAATTAATCGCTTCTAATTCTTTTTCATAAATGTTTTCATGATTTACTACTGTAGAGTTCATGTTTACAATGTATCAAATAGTAAATTCTTTACGTTTTCTAATTAATAATTATCAAATGCTTGGACCCTGGACCTGGACAACGTCAATATTATAGCCAATGCACATCATAAGGTGATTTTGTGTAGGCCTATGTTTTGTGTGTATTGAGTTAGGATAATGTAGTGGTACTGTTAATAATGGAAAGTTGCTAGAACAAGTAGGCTTATAATACAGGAAATAATG